TTTGTATAATGGTCAGAGAAGAGTCTCCTAGTGGTTTTGGAACAAGCCTAAAACAACCAAGCACTAATCCTCAAAATCAAATAGTCATATCTTACCAACACATTATATAAATGAAATAGAAAAGTGCATTCAAACTTCTAAGGAATTTATTCATTGCATTAGACACCATAGAAATAATATTTTGAAATTTTTTTTATCAAATCTGGAAACACTGATAGCATCGATGAGGTGGAGGATGAAGTATGAAGTGGTAGATAATGAGACCAGGGAACTCATTTGGGAGATGTCTGCTTCGTGCAGACAGTGCAATGTCATGCTTCATTTCATCTTTTGAGAGAGATACTAATGAACAAAACACAAACTTACTAAAGGAACTTTATACAGAAAACTATTTCAAGTGTTAGTATCCACCTAGTCCTGCCTATCCTACATCCCTGTTACAAAACAGCACGTGCTTCTTGATGATTCCTCATCAGCACACAAAAGGTCACTTCCATATGGGAAACAGGGAACTACTAAAACATTTTAGAAAAATTCCCCTCATGTGTCATAACATTTTTATAAAATAAATACCATAGGGTTTAAGTTGCTGTTATTTAAAAACTTTACCTTTCTAAAGTACCACACTAGCTAGTTAAACAAGGTGCCAACTAGAGAAGGTATTTCTGTAAGAGGGTTAAATACTCCCAACTCAGAGAATACTTTAGTGCGTGTGGCATGAACATGGTGAGGTGATTCACAGACATGGACAAGTCACTTTTATTTATATCAGGATCTTCTTTAACTTACAGTAGTATTGGGTCTAGCATCAGGTTCTTTTTCCTTTGTAGGGTTTCTTTAGCCAGCAGAGCTTACCTCAGGACAGCGGGACTGAGGTCTACCATAGCATGGGCAATGGCCTCTGTCGCTGAAATTCAGGTAAGGAAAATGTCCTCATTCTTGTTAATACATTAGCGAGGTTCTTTCCGTAATTAACTTACACGGTCTTTTATTTACGGACATCTTGATTGCTTGCTTTTGTTGTTGTTGTTCTTTTTTTCTTTTACCTTTTTTTTTTTTTTTTTTTTTTTTTGCTAGTTTTGTTTGTGTTTGTCATTGCCATTACGTTTACAAAGTTCTGCAGTGATATGTTTTTAAATATTGTTGAACTTCTGAGAGTATTTTGCCTATGAAAAAGCTGGGTTAAAAGATAGCCACATTTTATTCTTCCTAATATTTTTGTGTTACAATGACGTGGGCTGACAAACCTCTACTACTTAAAATTTAAAAGTTTTTCTCCTGTGACCAAATCTTGATCAATTTTTATAAATGTTCCATGGACATAGAAAAAAATTTATTTTGTAGTCAATGTCCTCACTGTCTTCGCTTACTATATTTTACTATCTGCCTACTTTTGGAAGGTATTTGAAATCTCATTGATATTTTTATAAGTTTCTACATTTTTATTAATGTTTGCCTTATTCAGTACTTTGGTCTACACAGTTGCTATTGCTTCATGAGTTATACCTGTTTATTGTTATGTAAGTTTTCTTTATCTCAAATAGTAAGCTAAAACCTAAATTTTATCATGTGTTATTCATATTTTCACTCCTTTCTTTATCTTTGCATTTGCCTAATATGTCTTTGACCCTCATTTTCAACTTTGCTTTTAGTGAGTTTTCAAAAACACACAGCTCTGTTTGTATCCCACTCTGATGGTCTCCGGTTGTCGATGAGAGAACTCAGTGTAATGACAGACACACCTGATCATATTTCTCCTAATTTACTCTGGTTATAACTAGTTACAGTTTACTCTTTTTGTTTTTGCTAATTTGATCAAGTTACTTGTAATCATTTAATTGTTCTCCCTAAGGTTGGAGATTTTACTTTTTTGTCTAGTCCATGAATGGCCCTCTTTCCCAGCTCTCTTAGTTAAACACATAGCACTCTACTGTTATTTTAAAGCAAGATATCTATTTCCTCTGCCAGGGCAGTTTCTACCACCAAGACATTACAGTCTTCCCCTTGTTCCTATTGTAAGATGAGATAGTACTCTAGAGAACTGTTTTCTCTCCTCCTGGCCCCACCTTTACTCCTCCCTGCAGTGAGACCTTTGAAAGATTTCATCTTCTTTCACTCCCAACCCCCAACTACTAGATTGAACTGAATTATTTATCATTTCCCTTGAAGTATATCTCTCTGTTTCAAAAGTTCTTATTTAGCCCTTATATTACACAGCCTATCCTTCATTATTAAGCTAGAATTGTATGTAGCAAACACATAAAGATATATTGTAAGGTGTACCAGTCCTCACCATAGGTCTTCACTTTTGTCTTTCCCCATTTGAGGTCTCTGCTCGGGTTTGTTTATCGCTTGGTTAAGGTCTTGGCTTAGGTATTTTTCTCCCATGTGGTATTTTAATAATTTACTGTCTGAATTTCTATGTATCTCAGATCTCTCCCTTTCATCCTGGTGGCTATACCCATCTTGGCTTGAGTTGGAGTCCTTTTCTCTCAGATGTCGATAGGCACTGACCATTGTCTTTTAGCTTCCCGTGTTACAGCCGAGTTTTTTGTGCCAATATGGTTTTCTTTTCCTTTATAGTTATCTTGTTCTTTCTGCTCAGAAGTTCATAAGACTTTCCTCTTTGGTCCTATAAAGTTCAGGAATAGTACCAGGATATACTTCTCTAAATGCCTTTTCTATTCAGCCCATATCTCGGTGAGCCTGCCTGCCTGGGTTCTAATTCGGTTCCACCACTTACTGTCAGGGAAACCTTGGGCAAGACACAACATCTTTGCTCCTCAGCTTCTCATTTGCAAAACGAAAAGAAAAATTTCATGAAGTCATGTGAGAATCAAATGAATTAGCATTTATCAAGTGATTTAAACAGCACCTAACATGAGAAAGTGTATAAATATTAGCTATTATAGTAATAATTATAGTTATAATACTTATTTGGAGTAGCTAATGATTATTTAAAAATATATTATTTCTGTAGCTCAGGCACTTTTTCTCATTACTTAATTATTATTACCTCACTTACTTTGCATTTAGTAACTTTAACCTTAAACTACTCTGTGTTTTCTGCTTCTGAATTTTTTTCTCTCTTTCTTTCTCTCTCAGGACATTTTGTTTCTTTCCATCAGGTCCCCTCTGGCTTTGACTGAAACCTGACCGTCCACTGAGCATTCTGCTTCCTCTGTAGACATATCGAGGGACCACGGGGCCTGGAGGTGGGGTAGGTGTTCTGCTTGCTCGCTCCTTTGGAAACCTCTCAGTGCCTCGGAGGCACATGCATCAGGTTATTGCAGTTACACTGGGTCTATTCCTGTCATTTCTGTCAGAGTGGGAGACCTTATTCCTGTTAGACTAGTAATTCTCTAGGATCCCACTATCCACTTTGGAATCTGACCGGACAAGGTCTTGGCTTCCTACCTCTAATGGCCCCCCCTTAGTCGCATCCTAGACCTTCTTATACCCAGAGGGGAATGCCTCCGCAAAAACCTCAATTTCATGAGTCCTGCTCTTAACCCTTTCTTTCCTGTTCACATCCCCCAGCACCCTACATATTCTTTAGCCTCTTGGACCTCCAGGAATTTGACCCACCCCTGCCCATTACTTACCACCTGACCTCTCTTCCCCTCACAGCTTGGATTTTTATGTTCTACCATTACAGTCGTTCCCTTGCTTATGCTTTTAACTCTGCTGATTCTTATATGACTTAAATACTAGAATTAGAAGTGAACTTCAACACGTTCTCCTCGCCAAATCTACCAGCGAACGAGTATCAGTGCCCACATACATTGCCCTTGTCTCACTCCATTACTTGTGGACTGGATTTTGGACCCTCTTCCCTATATATTAGGACTTTCTCTCTACTGGGTCATTCTACGTCAGTGGGAACATTTGTTATATAATATCTTGGAACTTGAAAAAATTCTCCTGAAGCCACATGCTCCTTCAGCTACCAACCTGTTCTATTTCCGTTTACGGAAAAACTCATAAATCTAGTTGTCCATACTTGCTGTCTCTCCCTCCTTTCTTCCCATTCTTTCTTGTGCCCACTTCCATCAGGCTTTCAACAGCACTCCGCTGCGACCGCTCATCTCACACTTACCCTACCAGCACTCTTCCGCCTTCAGCTCCCTCCTCCTTGGAGTGGTTCTTTCCAGTTTGTTTCAGGAAGATCACTCTGGTTGCTCCTCCTACATGAGCATGTGCAGCTCTCAGCATTGCATCACTGCATCTTCATCTTCCAAACCTCTACCACTCATATACTTAGAGATCGCCAGGACCCAACCATAGACTTTCTTTTTTAACTTCTCTCTCCTCTTGGATGACTCATCCAGTTCTGGTGCTTTAAGTGCCATCGGTAAACTATTATAACACTGATGTTCCCAAATGTATATCTGAAGCCTGAACCTCTCCCCTGAACTCCAGACTCACGTGTCCAGCGACTCATTTGGTCTCTCTAGTTGGGCTAGGAGTATCTCAAAGCTAGCATGCCCAGAACTGTGCTCTTGTCTCCTTTGAAGCTTCTCCTCCCCAGTTCTTCCCTCCTCAGTAGCAGGCACCTCTCCTCTTCCAGTTGCACAGGTCAAAGCTTTACTCGTTTCAGATTGTTATCATACTCTAACATTCCACATCTGATCTAACCTGTTGGCTCCACCTTTAAAATATATCCAGAATCCAACCAACCACTCTCCCACTTCCACCAATACCACTCTATTTTGTTGTTATTATTGTTAATCCTCACCCATGGATATTTTTCCATTGATATTTAGAGAGTGGAAGGGAGGGAGGAAACAGGGAGGGAAGAGAGAGAGAGAGAAACATCTATGTGAAAGAGACACATCGATTGGTGGCCTCCTGAACACACCCCAACTGAAGTTGGGAATTGAACCTGCAATCCAGGTACATGCCCTTGACTGGGAATCAAACCCACATCCCTTTTGGTGCACAGGCCACCACTCTAACCACCGTGCAACACCGGCCAGGGCAGCTGCTCTTAATTTAAGCTGCTGTCATCTCCTAGATCCCCTGACAAGCCTGCCTGTTAACACTCTTACCCTTCTGTTCTATTCTCAACAGATCATCTAGAACACATGTGTCAAACACAAGGCCCGCGGGCCAAATCCGTCCCGCCAGGCATCATCTCTAGAATGATCCCTCTGAAATGTAATGTTATGTTACTTCTCTGCTCAGAGTCTCCAATAGTTCCCCATCCCTCAGAATAGAATCAGAATCCTTACAGTGTCTGACCTGTGACCACCCGGGTGGGAGTGATTAGTTTTTCCTCCAGATTTCCTGTTCTCTTCTCAGGTGTTGATAGGATAGCACTTTCCTGTGCCCTTAAAATTGGGTGTGTCATGTGACTGACATGCTTTAGTCAGTTAAATGTTGGTGGACATATCACTTGCAGATGGCACCTTTAAGGCCTAACCCATAATTTGCCATACTGTTTTTCCTTCTGCCACAGCGATAGCAGTACTCCAAATGGCGGCCACGTTGTCAGTTTGGCTCCCAGAGAAAGGAGCCGAAGCCCCCGCTGCCTTACTGTGGTCATGTAACATGAGGTTATATGGTGTTACTACAGGCAGCAGAAACCAGCCCATCTTGATGGAGTCACAGGCCATCCTCTTCGCTATGATCGCCATTTTTCCCCTCTCATTCAGTGTGCTTTGGCCATACTGGTCTCCTTTCTAACCTTTAAACGTGCCAAGCATAAACTTGCCTTAGGGCTTGAACTACCTGAAATTCCTAAAGTGTAAAAAGGAATCTTTACTCTTAAAATATTGATTCCTCAAATGTTGGTTTTTTTTATGATGCCTATTGATTTAATAACACCAAATCAATATTTCTGTCCATAGACTGGTGCATTTGTTTTAGATCCAATGTGTGGACTTGGAACAATACTTTTGGAAGCAGCTAAAGAATGGCCGGTAAAGTCTAATTATTTATTAGAATTATTAATTCTAATTATTATTTTATTTTTTTTAATATGTTTTATTGATTTTTTACAGAGAGGAAGGGAGAGGGCTAGAGAGCTAGAAACATAGATGAGAGAGAAACATCGATCAGCTGCCTCCTGCACACCCACTACTAGGGATGTGCCCGCAACCAATGTACATGCCCTTGACTGGAATCAAACCTGGGACCCTTGAGTCCGCAGACTGACACTCTATCCACTGAGCCAAACCGGTTTTGGCACTAATTATTATTTTAATTATATGAGTCATTATTTACTATTGTGAAATGGCTTATGAAGGGTTAATTAAGTTGCTGTTGTTTTTTAAAAATAGTATGATAAATTTAGTAAGATATGAGTAATCTTAATAATTAGTCATGACATTATGCTAATTTCTAAATTCCTTAGGCATTTGTAACTGTAAAATATTAATAGATTTTAAAATTTTTGCTATTGAGTATCATTTTAAAGAAATACTATAAAGTTGTTTCAACCTGAATGAACAAATCTATTGATTTCACTTTCACTATTTGAGAAAATGGCAGTAAGTTTTCTTAACTACAGGAAATATCTGATAGTTTTATTTATGCTTAAAATCAGAATTTCTTTCCCATAGGATGTGTACTATGTGGGCGCTGATGTCAGTGACTCACAGTTACAAGGTGCATGTGACAACGTGAAAGCTGCAGGCCTTGTGGGTAAAATTGAGTTACTTCAAGTCTCTGTTATAGGTAAGATATTAAAAATGCTTATTAAACACTTGGGGAAATGAACATATGTAAGTATCTTTATTCCTCTGGATAAACCCCCTTTCCAGCCGCATGCAAGCCCTCACTATCTGTAGATGCAAAGACAGGAGAGAGCTATTGGAATGACAGCTGTTCAGAAGCCTTCAGTCTTGGGTAGAGTCCAATGACAGGATGAGACTCCAGAATGTGAGGGCAGAATTAATGGCAATCTTCCCTTATAGAAATACTGAGTGTGAGTTAATTGTGGCACCGGGTATAGTTATGACAGGGAGTGATGGATTCTCCAACTTATGAGGCCGGGATGCTTCTGTTGGCCTGAACATCTGTGCAGGAATCACGCTGGAGCATTGAAACTCCATCCCAGCAAGACCTACTGCCATGCTGGCCTTGAGTCACATTACAGCTAGAATAGGCTAGCATTAGATAATTTGGGCTTTGCCATCAAAGGCTGCCTCACCTTGAAAGCAGCATCAGGTGCTGTGAGGAAAACAGCTTGAGCACAGGGGTTGTTGAGGCGCCAGAGGAATTGGTTTCAGGATGGTGCCAGGAAATTGGTTGGCACTTCAGAGCCCCAAGTTAGGTGTCATGGAATGTCATCTGAAGGCCATTTGTGCCAATTCAGATGCCAACAGGAGTCCACAATTTGGGGTGTGGAGGAAAAGTAGTTTAGTGCAAACAACTCCACTGTAAAGCAGCACTGCTGTGGAGCAGCTGGGTAGTGCTACCGCCTCAGTGGAAACTGCATGGCTTTGGGCTGCCTGGGGCCCTGCCATGCTGCTCTCATCAGCTCTGCTCTGCTCCAGAAAGAGGTCTCCAGTGATTCAGATTCAGCTCCAGCCAGGGAAATGCAGGCTTCAGTCTTTGTGGAAATTCTGCTCATTCTCAATTCCAGGTTTTCTCATGTATATAAAAATGGGTAGGAAATAAAATAAGTAGAAAGTGAAAAGAATCCTCAGAAAATATGGAAGTTACGATTGGGTGTATTGCCATATGCAATACACCCAATCGTAACTTCCATATTGATAATCTCATTTCTGAGACAAAAATGTATAGATGAGCAAGAAATTTAGATTTCATAATCAAACACTTTAATTTTATTTAGTGATAATTTTCAACTTGTTGAATATCAATTATTTAGGCTTAGGGCTTAAGTAGGTGTTCTTAACATTCTGGATCCCCTTTAAAACTCAGTGAAAGCTAAAAATAAAATAAATATGGCTATAATCAACGTACTCATAATACATAGTGTTTGACTATTCCTGATGAAATAGCTTGGTAAAATATATTCTTCATAGATGCTAAAACTAGCATATTTTATTAGGTCTATATTTACTAAGCCCTTTGTCAGTCAGGCAAATTCTCTGTGGCCATACTACAAGATGTTTTAAATAAACCAGAATAAACTGCATGCCTTAAACCTATATGCCTAGGATTTCTTATTAAAACATTTAAAATTATTTTGTCCTTTTTTATGTTAAATTCAAACATTTCTCATCGCATAGCTTTAAATGTTCATAAAACATGGAGAAATTTTCATCTGCAATATAAAGATAATATATTACTTTTGGAAAAAGTGTTTTGTGCCCTATTTATCTTATACTAGTGACCCAGTGCACAGATTTGTGCACATTGAAAGGAAATTAATTAGAAGAAAGACTCATTCAGTAATTATATTACTGCAAAAAATTACATGTCAAGCCCTAACCAGTTTGACTCAGTAGATAGACAATCAGCCTGCAGACTCAAAGGACTCAGGTTCAATCTGGCAAGGAAGGGCATGTACCTTAGTTGCGGGCACATACCCAGTAGGGAGTGTGCAGGAGGCAGGTGATTCATCAATGTGATGTTTCTAACTCTCTATCTCTCTCCCTTCCTCCCTGTAAGAAATCAATTTAAAAAAAAAAAAAAAATATATATATATATATATATATATATATATATATGTGTGTGTGTGTGTGTGTGTGTGTGTGTATACATATATATATATTACATGTCGAAATATTATATATAATGTAGTATTATAAAATTAAAATACAAAGTATTTTAATATGAGTCAACATTTATTTTTAAATTGCCAGTGCACGTCATATGTACTGGCTGGTCAGTCGGACGGACACTTAGCCTTTTATATATATAAATTATCATCTAAATTCATTTGATGAAGCAACTGAATTAAAGAATCTTTTCTCGAAAATAAAATAAAATTCAATGAAAGCTATGGCTCATCTCCCTTAAAAATAAGAAAAATCTACACATGCAAAATTTTATATATAACTATGAAAGTTAGAATATAATTTTGTAAAAAGTTTTTCTAGACAATTTAATAGATTTCTTCTTGGAACTGTCTAGCAGTTTTTAGTCATGTACTATGTTTAGAGAATTGAATTTTCTGGTTAATTTAAAATTCTACTTAACGTATATCATATTTTATCATACCTGACAAACCAAAGAACAGAACATAATTGCTGTACCATTTACCTTCAGTGTTTCTGAGGTCCTTTTAGAAATTTGTAATTTCTTAGACATAATATCAGCTAACCTAGATTTTATTTAATATGCAAAAGTAATCCTGCATATTTTAATTTTCTCATCTTCAGGTTGTAAATACTTGAACTTAATAGGATTATCTGATTTCTGTATTTCAGAATTGCCATTGCCTTCAGAAAGTGTCGATATTATTATTTCTGACATCCCATTCGGGAAAAAGTTTAAGTTAGGGAAAGACATCAAACGCATTCTACAAGAAATGGGAAGGTAAGGAGTTGAATTTATTTAAATAATTTTGAGATATTGGGCATTTCACCAAAATATATTATAGCTCTTCAGTTAAGATTTGATTGCATTTTAGTAATTTCCTAGAGTTTTGGTAGCTTAATTTTCTAAGGTTTTAAATCAGTTTATGACTGAGAAAAAGCAGAGGCTACGTTAGGTAGACAGTGAGGGAGGGCTCTCCAAGGGCATGGTAGTTGAACTCTGGGACCTCAATAAAGAGAAAGCACACAAGGGAATGAGTGTTAAGTGCAGACTGGCCAACAAGGCCAAATGTTCTAGGATGAGAAAAAGCTTCTTGAGTTTGAGCAACTGAAAGGAAGTTCAATTGCTCAGACCGTAGCGAGCAAAGGGAAGCAAGCGGGCAGTGGAGTGGCAAAGATAGGTGAGGGTCAGATTGTATAGGAGTTCAGAATTTATTTGCAGTATAGTGGGAGAGGGTTAGCAGGGATTTACTTTTGTTTTCTATGTGGAAACTGGGAAGGGAGAGTGGAAAGAGCAACGAGAGTGGAAAGGAGATTGTTGCAATAGTGCAGCTGGATTTGAGGATGGGGGTGATGTAGATGTGGCGTCGTTTAGAGACAGACTTATCTGGATTTGCTGATTGTCCTGACATCTCTGCTGGGCGTGTGGTGATCCTCCTTAGCTCTCAGTTCTCTAGCTGTCACGCTGGTTCCTTACCTACACAGCCAAGTTGCTTGACAAGATGTACTTGGCATCTCTGCTCTTCACCTTCCGGTCCACTCCTGGTCCCAGCAGACCAGCACCTGC